GAGGGCGGAGAGGGAGGAGAGGGAGAAGAGGGAGGAGAGGGATCAGATGGAGGAGAGGGCGGAGAGGGAGGAGAGGGACGAGGGGGACGAGAGGGAGGAGAGGGAGCAGAGGGAGGAGAGGAAGGATATGGAGGAGAGGGAGGAGCTGTAGGAGGAGGAGGAGGAGGAGGAGGAGGAGGAGGAGGAGGAGGAGGAGGAGGAGGAGGAGGGGGGAGGGGGAGGGAAGGGTCGGGGGAGGGGGGGGGTGAGAGGGAGGAGGAGGAGGAGGAGGAGGAGGAGGAGGAGGGGAGGAGGAGGAGGAGGAGGAGGAGGAGGAGAGGAAGGAGGAGGAGGCGGAGAGGAGGAGGGGAGGAGGAGGAGGCGAGCAGCAGCAGGAGTCTCAAGGAGGAGAGGAGGAGGAGGAGGAGGAGGAAGAGGAGGAGGTGGAGGAGGAGGAGGAGGAATCGTACCAATAGTAATACTAACAACATCAGTAACAATGGTAATACTATTAGTTTTAGTAATAATGATAATGAGCATGCTAGTCATAGTAACAATACTAGTCATACGAAGAAGAATTATCATACGAAGACAAATCGACATAAGGTTATCATTCGTAGACATCGTAATGATAATACTAAGAAGAAGAGGAGGAGGATGAGGAGGAGGAGGGGGGGAGGAGGACGAGGAGGAGGAGGAGGAGGAGGAGGAGGAGGAGGAGGAGTGGTAAGTTTAGCACCCCCTCGAATCCACACTCGCAGACGTTCCCGTGGTTTAGGGTCCCCAGGTTTTTCCTGGAGGCCTCCAGAGGCTGCTTCAGGAGGCTCAGGTCGGGCCCAATGCGATCCAAATCATCGATCCTCGATCCTCGTCGCGGTCACAACTGGAAGTGGAGCAGGCCAGGCCTTTGAGGGCGTGCGCGCCCTTCTGGGCCCACGGGTGTGCCTGTTCCAGGCCCGGGATCGGCGTGCATCTTGTGTCCTCCAAGGTCGAAGTGGTTGCCGGGGGATTGGACGGACGACACCGACCAGACGATCCTGGCTCTCTGGGACGAGACCGACCGACCCGCGGGGAGGTATATCCGGAAGGGGCTAGGACAGGGATGAATCGTTCCAGAGCGTTCCAGAATTGCGAGCGCTCCGAGAAGGCGGCCTGCGCCCGATGCAGCCTCCAGAACCGCTGGATCTCGGAGATGCCCGATTTGTCCTGGGTCGAAGTTGTCCCTGTCCTGGCTTCGTCGTGTACGTGTGTGTGTGCATATATGGAGCGTTCCAAGAAGGGCCTTGCCTTGGAGGATCGAAGGAGTTGCCATCTCGTCCTCGGGCGGAAGGGATGCGGGGGGCGGTGGAAGCAAAACTGGGCTTCGTCCGCCGGCGGAAGCCCTGGCGGACGCTCGGCGCAGGCTGGCGGAAGCAGAGGGCGACCTCCCAAGAGAGGACAACGCTTTTGGGGTTCTGAATGTCCGGAGTCGGCCACGTGATCCCGGGTCGAGGGTTCACAGGCGCCCCCCCAGCTGGGATGGGCCCAGGGTTTCATCACAGGCTGCCCGACCATGGGTGAGGAGGGACGACGACGAGCACGACGACGACGACGACGAGACGACGACGACGACGACGACGACGACGACGACGACGACGACGACGACGACGACGACGACGACGACGACGACGACGACGGCACCACCGCAGCACCACCCCATACCCACCGTGAGTGGGAGGGGCGGGGGCACCAGCCCCCCTCCATACACGCCATGCCCACAGGGCCACGACTACAGCGGGAGGGGGAGATCCCACTAGCACTGGGGGAGGAGGGCGGAGCCCTGGATCATATGTATGTGCTTATATATATATATATATGAATATGTGTGGGCAGCACCCGCCCAGCACCCATTCATCGCATTATTTCTTTTGGCGATGCTGCAGTGCTCTTTTCCGTGCCTTCCTTCCCTTTTCCTTTCCTTCCCCTTCCCTGACGTCTACTGGCGCATTCGTTCGACATCACAGGCAAGCGCGCTGTGCTGCTCCGCTGGCCAACGTCCAGCAGCAGCGCAATGCGGAACATAAACATGGCGCTTTCCCCCCGCATAGAAAGCCCAAAGCTTGTGAGCCATCCTGCAGACACGCGGAGCCACCAAGCCCTTCTATTTCATTGGGATGCTTCGGATATCCGGGTGCTCATCCCAGAGCTCCGTATTCACTGGGATGCTTGCGATTCGTGGGATTCCCTTACCTCCGACAGAAACCTACCCTGGACCCCCCCTCCTCCCAGGGCTCCGAATAGCGATGCTGCCCCTACCTGCCCCTCCACGATCTCGGACCCCCTTCCCCCGCCATGCCCCAACTTGCAAGTGCCCCGAACCGCCCAGAAGCGCCAGAAAGTTTGAACCCTCGACCAGAAGCGCCCCCAAGAGACCCTCGACCCTCGACAAGAAAACCCTGACCCCCCCGAGGCCCCCAGAAGCGCCCCCAAGCGCCCCTCGACCCTCGATCGCCGACGACGACGGAAGTTGCATGTGCAGTCCGCTGGCGGGTCCGATCCCCGAGGTGCTGCGCACGATGCTGCCCCCCAGCGACGCCTCCGCTGGTGACTGCGGGTCCCCAAGCGGAGGCCTTCGGGCGCCAGATCCGCTGGAGTTCGCCCGCTCCCTCGTCGCCTGGCACCTCCGCGGCTTCCCAGAGCTCGGCGACACTGGCGGCTGCGGCATGGGCCGCACCACTGCTCGTGTCGTCGACGATCAGGCCTTCCTGCACGACCCGCGCGCTGCGGCACGCCTCGCGTGGGAGACGACCGGCCGCTGCCTGGCACCGAACGGCGCCCTCATGCGCGCCGCGATCACCGGGATACGCGGGACACGGTTCGCCGCACAGGACGCGGCTGCGATCGCAGAGGTCCGGGGAGATTCCCGCTGCACTTGCCGAGCTGGACCTACTCCTCGGGTTCCTCCCCACGCTGCCCCCTCCTCCTTCTCCCTCCCCCTCCCACTCCGCTCCTCCGTTGGTGCCGATGCGTGCTAAGGTCACGGGGATGGGCGGAGCTCGCTTCTGCAGCTGCGAGGGCCGAGGACGCCCCAGCCAGAGTCGCCAGGAACTGAGGGGTCCCATGGGAGCGAGCATCTGTCCAAAACGCGCTCTGCCCCTGGCGGACGCCTGGAA